CTTTCTGAGGGTGGAGGGAATACAGAATGGGTAGTAGAGGAAGCTAATTCTAAACACCGGCTAAGGTCACACAACCAGTTGCAAAATGAGGATCATAATTGACATGAGTGTTTCATATTTTGTTAAAAATGCATCTGTACAAACATTTGTGTTTTCTTTCCTCAATTTCTTTATTATGTAATATAACATCAATTTGGAGAATATCAATGGTTATTTTATTAGAGATATTAAAAGGATGTCCCTCAAGTGTCATTGTCACCTATTCTAAATTTATAATTTATAATTATAATGTAGTTTTGTGAGGCATAGTTATATCTTATTAGTCATAATTACAACCTGGTTAGATATCCAATGGGTTTGCAATTATATGTGGGATAGTGATACCATGTTTAAGCATCATTATGACTTGGTTTTTTGTTTTCATTTGCAAATTAATCATGACATAAGGAGATATGATTATGTGTCAAGTTGAAAGGGATGGACTTGTGATAGCTATTCTTGTTTGTCAACTTGACTATAGATGGAATTAACTAAAACCAAAATATGGAGTGGCATAGCTGTGAGGGAGTTTTGCTTAATTTAAAGTAGGAAAACTCACTTCTAATCTGGATCTTTGAGGTAGGAAGGCACACCTTTAATCCAGATCTTTTGAGCTGGGAAAATCAACCTCTAATCAGAGTCACTCCCTTCTGCTAGAAGCCTCTATGAGGACATGGAAGAAGGAAACTCGGCTCTTTGCCTGATTGCTCTTGCCTCACCAGCAAGTCTATTCCTTCACTAACATTAGAGCTTACTTCTTTGGGATTCCAGGGTATACTGAAGACCAGCTGAGACATCCAGCCTCATGGACTGAACAACTATTAAATTCTAGGACCTTCTATTCATAGGCAGCCACTGTTGGATTAGCTGAACCTCAGCCTGTAAGTCATTCCAATAAATCCTCTAAATATCCCTCTCCCTCCTCTCTTTCTCTCTCTCTCTCTCTCTCTCTCTCTCTCTCTCTCTCTCTCTCTCTCTCTCTCAGTTCAGGTTGTAAGTTCTGTTACTCTAAGAACTCTGACTAATACACAGGGTCTCATGTGTGCCACGTTGTCCTTGAACTCATGTTCAGCTTGCCTCCACCTTCCAGTGCTAGGATTATATATGTGAGTTACTATACCTAGTTTATGTGGTGCTGGGGATTGAACCCAGGGCCTTGAGCAGGCTAGCCCAGCACTGTTATCAGCTGAGCTGCCACAGTCATGTTTGCTTTCAGGTTGTGACACATTATATATACATATATAGGCCCATGTTATTCCTCATGTTATATGCTGTCATTTAACAGAGGACTCAGTCTTTGTACTTCTGGTGGACTGGTGTGTGTGTGTGTGTGTGTGTGTGTGTGTGTGTGTGTGTGTGTGTGTAGTCTGCCTCCTAAAAGTTGGGATTAAAGGCATGCATCGCCATACTTGGCCCTTTAATCACAATTTTAAAACCCGTATTTTTTTTTCACAATCAGATCCAGCCTACTTCATGTGTTTTGGATTTGGATGATGACAATATCCAAACATCATAGGGTCAAGGCTGGAGAGATGGTTCCACAGTGAAGAGTGCTTGCTGTTCTTAGGACTTGAGTTCATTCCCAGCACCCATATTGAGTGGCTCATATCTACCTATCCCCAGTTATAGGTGAGTCAAGTATCTTCCTCTGGCCCATCAGGGCACCCCAACACATGTGACATTCAATGACACATATACACACATACATATAAATAAAAATAATAAACCTTCAGGGGCTGGAAAGATAGTTCAGAGGTCAAGACACTTGCTGCTCTTGCTGAGGTCCCGTGATTGGTTCCCAGCACCCACAAAGTGGTGGTATCCAACCATACATAATGAGTTCTGATGTCTTCTTCTGACATCAGAGGGCACCAGGCAACATATGTTGCCCAGCCATACACATAGGCAAAACATTCATAAACATGGAATTAAAGAAAATACGCTAGATGAGGTAGCATATTTGATTTAGAAATTCAAAATCTTAAACTGCTCAATAAGTTCTAGGCCTTGAAGCATTTTAGATTTTAAACTCCTGGATTAAGGATGTTCAACCTGAGTTACCAGTCTGGCGCTGGTGATCCTGGATTCTCTACGAAGTCAGGGTGAGCAAGCCTCAGGGAGCAAGCCATTAAGCAGCACTCCTCTATGGGCTCTGCATCAGCTCCTGCCTGAGTTCCTGCCCCTACTAATTTTGATGATGGAACTGTGAGTGAAATAAGCCCTTTTCTTCCCGAGTTGCTTTGATCATGGTGTCTTAACACAGCAATAGTAACCTTAACTAAGACACTAAACAACTCACTTCCATGAGATGGGAAAGATGACTCAGTAGAGTGCTTGTTACACAAGCGTGGGATCTGAGTTCGGATCCCCAGCTCCCACATAAGAACCAGGAGAGGTGGTGTGAATCTGTAATGACAGTGCTGGAGTGTGGAGGCAGAGAGGGCAGATCCCAGAGGCTCACTGGCCAGCCAGGAGAGCCTGTCTTAGTGTTCTTTTTTTTTTAAGATTTATTTATTTATTTATTTGTTTATTTATTTATTTATTTATTTATTTATTATGTATACAGCATATGTGACTGCAGGCCAGAAGAGGGCACCAGATCTCATTACAGATGGTTGTGAGCCACCATGTGGTTGCTGGGAATTGAACTCAGGACCTCTGGAAGAGCAGTCAGTGCTCTTAACCACTGAGCCATCTCTCCAACCCCCCTTAGTGTTCTTTTTTTCCTGTTGATAAAATACCCTGACAAAGCAACTTAAAGGGCAAACATTTATTTATGCTTGCAGTTCACGATACAGTCCACCATGGCAGAGAATCAGGGCAGGAGGAGCTTGAAGCAGCTGATCACGTTGCTCCACACTCAGGAAGCAGAGAGCAATGCATGGTGGTGCTCAGCCACTTTCTCCTTTTCATACGATCCAGGGTCCCAGCCCAGCGAATGGAGCCACCCACAGTGAGCAGGCCTTCCCATCTCAACTACTCTAATCAAGATAATGCCCCACAGGCATGACCAGAGACCCAGCTCCTATGTGGTCTTAGGTCTTGCCAAATTGACCATTGAAACTAACCATCACAGATCCTGCTCAGAAATTAAGGTGGAGAGTGACAGAAGAAGATACCCAAAGCAGAGCTCTGGATTGTATATGCGCATGTGCAGGCAGGTGCACCCCTCTACACACTGACCTCCCTCCATCCACAAGAACCTACCTGCTATCACAACAGCCTTGGGGATAAGGATCTCAGCACGTGTGTTTGGGAGGGATCAGATGCCACCTTAGCACTTCCATCCTGGAACTCAAGGTCTTCTGAAAATGGGGAAGTGACACTCTAGGTCTTCTCAGTTCTCGTGGGCTGTGTGAGTCGTAAGTTCCTCTCTCGGATGCAGATTCTCGGAGTCTTCTCTTCCTGTCCTGCTTTCTTTACAAACTGGGGACAACAGGGAACCAGATGGGCAATGGCCCAGCCCTTCTGACCACTGAGTTGCTGCAGTTTCTGCTAACTAAGAGAGAGAGTATTTGGGTAAAGATGGGGGTAAAGGTTAGTTGCCACTTGAAAATGCAGAAAGTGGTGTGTGTGCTCTCTTGTACAAGATATATATATATATATATGTAGCTGGAAATTTTCTGTGTCCCACCTGGTCTGTAGCCACTTAGACCCAAGTAAACACACAGAGGCTTATATTAATTATACCTGTATGGCCATGGCTCCAGCCTTTTGCTAGCTAGCTATTATATGATAAATTAGCCCATAATTATTAATCTATGTATTGCCACATGTTCTGTGACTTTACCTGTGCCCCATTACATGTTGTTCCTTGGGCAGCTCACTGGCATCTCTTCACTCAGCCGTCCTCTTCCCACAATTCTCCTTGTCTGCTTATCCTACCTATACTTCCTGCCTGTCTACTGGCCAATCAGCATTTTATTAAACCATTGTACAAAAGCATTATCCCTCAGCATTTCCCCTTGTCTGTTTAATTAAAAAGGCAGATTTTAACTTTAACACATCATAATTTTTTTAATTATAACCAAGGAAAATTGTAACTATCTAGTCTTCAACTACATCAAAGACCACAGAAGGATATAATACTACCTAAGTAAACAGGAAGAGCATTGTAAGCAACTTCCAAAAATTTGGATATGACAGAGACAGCTGCCTGCCTGGACAGTCATCCAAAGATTCTCTGCAATGTTGTGGCATTCATTCTTTAGCCTACAGGCCTAGAGTCTCTCAGTCACTTTTCTCTGTGTCCTGTAGAATGTTTGGTAGTTTCTTCTGCAAAGCAGGAACCTGAAGGACCATTTTGCCTTGCAAAGTTCAGTGGTCACCTTCCCATGAGTCCTGCATGTCCAGTCAAGAACAGTTTTTTGCCCAATGGCTATTTTTGCCAAGAAGATAAACTGCACTCCTTGAAGTAAATCAGTGCTGCCAAGAGCAGACATGTCTCACTGTCCAGAAAGTTTTTAAAACATTTTAAATGCCATATTCTGTAGGTCTTTGAAGTGTTTGAAGATTACCTATCTGAAATATATCTATGTACACCTAGAAAACTTAACTAACATGACTATAAGTTTGATTATCATAAAAAACTACTTATTAATCTGTATTTCTTAATTATCCATTACAATTTAAAAGAGTTACATAAACATAATACGTTAAATGAAAGTAGAAATATATATATATATATATATATATACAGTATAAAATTAAATTTGTAATAAATGAAGATCTATACCAATGTAAAACATTTTAAACAAGTTGCTCTTTAAAAGTAGGTTCAACAATCTATCCTTTCATCCCATCATATCTATACTATCCCCTTTTCTTCTTTAGAAACAGATTGCATTTATAATCAACCTACTTTAAATGAAAATAAACATTCATAAGCAATATTTTGGGAATTTGGGCATAGCTTCTCATACTACTTCCTGCTGATAGAGGGCACTGGCAATCTAATGGGGATCCTGAGAAAATTAAGAATTATGGCCAAGTCCTGACTGACTGGAGTAGTCTGTGCGCAAACAAGTAGTATTCTGGAGCAAGGGGACAGTAAGAGACAACAGCAAAGAAGAAATATGTAATGATGGACTGTGGCCATGACTCAGCAGTAGAGAGCCTGTCTGGAATACTCAGTGAGAGGATGGGGTGGGACTCAGGGTTAGAGCCCCTGCCTAGAATCCTCCAGTGAGGGGCTGGAGACATGGCTCAGGAGTAGAGCATCTGCCTAATATGAGTGACACTGAATTCCAATGCCAACAAGAAATCCATCCTAGAACAAGGAAGGAAATTTTGCTTTTTCCAATAATCTGTGTTATTGTAGTTTTCAAGGTCAATGCTTGAGCACTAGTAGCCCCAACAAAGCAGGCTTGACCACACTCACCCTCCATACACCAACTAAAGACATAAGAAAGAGGGAGATTTAATGTAACTTGGTTACACCAGGAAGAGAAACAAATAGAGGTTCACTGACCCTCAAGTCCATCTTCAGGGTCCTGATGTGAAGTTTAGGTTTAATTAGAGGGCAAGAGGTAGGCATGATCAAGCAGTCCTGGTCAAGGTGTGGTGGTGCCCATCAGTGACACATGCTTGTTTGGCCCACAAGGTGTTCCAATAGCTCTGGCTGTGAGACAATCCCGGGGCCTGAGATCCACCTCCCCCTGGACCGTGGTGCTTTGGAACACAGCCCAGGTGTGTTCAGAGAGGGTGTGCCCATGACAAGCTGCGGAGGGAGGGAGGAGAGGCTGGTTACCCCCAGCCTGCATCTCCCAGGCCCTCTTCTCCCCTGTGCTCTACATCCATCCCCAACTCCACCAATATCATCAGCCTCAGGGGAGGCTCTGGGGGCTCTGGATGAAGCAAACCCATTTTCACTGGGCAGGACAAGTCACTCAAAGGCCAAGGTCAGTGCAGAGAGGGAGAAGATGGGATCAGACCCCACACGGGTGAATTTGGAGGAGGCAGTTGCCTTCTTTGGCCTCAGGAGATCTGGGTGGCTGATCTTCAAGGTCCAAGCTCCTCCCACAGCAGTCACTGTCCTGGCCTCCCCCTGCTTCCGGTAGGACTTCCTCCAGACCTTGCATCTCTTAGTTCCTCAGAGAAGAGCCCAGAGAGTCAGACTTCTGGTGGCCCTGCAGCTTCAGCTCGACATGCTGCTGTTGCTGCTGCTGCTCTGGGGAATGAAAGGCGTAGAGGGTGGGCGTGAAGCCATGGAGGGTTACACCCTGAGTGTGGAAAGGGAGGTGGTGGTGCAAGAGGGCCTGTGTATCCGCGTACCTTGTACGTTCTCCTACCCTGAGGAGAAATGGACCTACAGAGGCCCGATTCATGGATACTGGTTCCATAGTGGAGCCAAAATAGGGAGTGATTCCCCAGTGGCCACAAATAACCCACAAAGGCCAGCACTGAAGGAGACCCAGGGCCGATTCTTCCTGCTGGGAGACCCACAGAAGAAGAATTGCTCCCTGGACATCAGAAAGACCAGGAAGGAGGACACAGGCTCATACTACTTTCGCCTGGAAAGAGGACAAGCGAAGTATAATTATGTTTGGAACACGATGACTCTGAATGTGACAGGTCAGACATGGCTTGCAGAGAAGCCACCAGGGAAAGCCATGGGTGCCACAGGGCAGGCCTGGGATAGGACTCCATCCTGGGAGCAGCTGGGTCTGAGCATCAGGGCTCAGGGGAGGAGATGGATCAGAGCCAGGGCTTCCCCTGAAGCTGCACCTCACCCCTCCTGATCCTCCATTTCTCCCCTCTCCTCACCAGCCCTCACTAACACCCCCGACATCCTTATCCCGGACACCCTGGAGGCTGGATGTCCCAGCAACCTGACCTGCTCTGCGCCTTGGGCCTGTGAGCCCCCCACCTTCTCCTGGACTGGTACCTCTGTGTCACTCTTGAGCACCAATGCCATTGGTTCCTCAGTGCTGACCATCATCCCCCAGCCCTGGGACCATGGCACCAACCTCACTTGTCAGGTGACCCTGCCTGGAACTGGTGTGACCACAAGGATGACCATCCGTCTCAATGTGTCATGTGAGACTGGGTTGGGTCATCGTGTCTTCAATGGATAAAACTCCAAGGGGACAGTGGGGATGAGATTAAGGTCTGTACACTGGTCATTGAATATGGATTGGGCAGATCAGGAATTGATGGAAACAGATAGAACCCCATCATCCTCACCTAGGCATCTACTGGGGCCAGAAGAAGGGTGTTCACCTAGCCTTTCCACTAATGGATCTACTGTGTCATCCTTTCTCAGATGCTCCAAAGAATCTAACCATGACTGTCTACAAAGGAGTTGGTCCAGGTAAGAGAAGACTTTATGGATGGGGGATGCAGGGCCTGTTCATCAAAGGGCAAATCCTGTCCTTCTCCATAGTAGATTCACTCTAGGTACATCGACCCCTTATGGGAGACAGTGCCTTTTCCCCATTGAATCTTTATTGTCCACTTGAGCATCTATCCCTAAATAACTCTTACTTCTTAGGAGAGCTGTACATTCACCTTGATCACAACAGCACAGGGCAGCCTTAACGTAGCCAAACAGACATAATTGGTCTCTCTCATCCATCTTTTTGGATCAACCTCCAGCTTCAGCTATTTCTTTCCTTACAGCTTTGATTTGAGTGACTGAGGAGACACTTCCACATGGGTAAATATTCAGAACCTATGGTGGTCTGTCCCAAGCATCTCAGTCCCCTCTCAAGGTGTAATCAGTGTCTACACAGGCTGAGTTGAACTTGAAAGTCTGAGAGGGAACTAAATGTTAAGAGCTTAGATGGTCTTTGTTCTTCAACACTTTGGTCCATCATATATGGATGAACTCTGTCTCCAAGGGCTTCCTGTATTAATAGGCAGCCATGGCACTAATTTCATTATATCAAAAAAATACACAGTAATCTATGTTCACAAATGTGAGTTGATCAGTGGAATAAATACAAATTTTAAGAGGAGTTGTAGGATATTTTCCATCATTATATTTCCAGCACTGTGGGATGAGAACGTATGTTTTTTAGAGCCTCACCTCCCATGTGTGCGGTGTGACCTTTTGTACTTTACCAGTAGAGAGTGACAATGGAAATGTCTATGTGGTTTTTAAAAATATATTTGCTCTTTCACAATTTTATCAAGCCCCCTCCTGCCTTCATGTCTTTTGTTTGTGGCCCACTGCATTTAATTAGGCTTACCACCATGAGCGTGGGGTGAAGTTGTTTATTTAAGCAAAGGCAACTTACCAGTGGCCGAACTACTGAGGACTGTGATTTCTTCCCCACTCTTCCCCTACTCCCTGTCAGCAACATTAACTTCTCAGGGATAGTAGACCTTCTGAACCCCTACCCCATCCATAACTGGAAGGTTGATGGGCCCAGTCTAGTGCAGGTCTTGTTCAGGTAGCCACAGGTCACGGATAAAGCAGCCATGTTATGCCCAGAAGACATTGATTCACAGCATTCCTCTCCATCCTCCCAGTCTCACATTCTTTCCTCCTCTTCTGCCATGTTCCCAGAGCCTCCATATTATTTGAAAATTTGTGTTTGTCATACCTTAATGACATAGTTGAGACCAGGTGCAGGTATGTAGCCCATGCCGGCACTGTCTGTGATTCTCTGAGAGATGGGATCCAGGTCTGTCCGTACCACCAGACCCATCTCAGTCACCATTCTTTCATTCCTGGAACTGCTAGGAATATTCTTTATGTGGATTTCTAGAGTCATTCACTTTTTGTTGTTTTGTCTTGAACAGTCTTTCCAAGGTAGAGAAATTACCAATTCCTTGTGAAGTTAATTATAAATGCACATTTATAATTGCCTATCCTAATTGCCCTTTCTTGGAGTTCAGTAGTTTGTAAAAAGCAGAAGGAATTTTTTATAGTCACATTGACCTACTCATATGCATGTTATAATTTTCACATGTGAGTTTCTTAAAACACACACACTTCATCTTTGACCTCCTGAAGATGGACCGGAAGTGTCTGCCACTCTGACCTTGTCTTTTTCTCCGTTCAACCTGAGGGTCCTTCCTGTGTGGTTCTGATGTGCTCTGCCCTGGTGCAGCTTTGCATTCCCTGTCCCTTCTGGAATCCTCTTCTACCTTCATCATGCTATGGTTTCAAACTCGACCCTTACTTATGACTCTGGGATGAGGTAGACAGATATCCTTCCTCCAGCAAGCACTCCTGGACCACAAGGTGTACTCTGCCTACAAGCTGATATTTCTTCCAAACCAGAACATTTAGACGCTCATGACTCATGGAGGTACTGGAATTTATAAGATCTGGGAAACTCAAAATGTTAAGAGAGTCACAAGACCCCTTCCACAACTTATACAAACAGTAAAAAATTCACACACACACACACACACACACACACACACACACACACACACACACACACACACAGAGTAGGGATGGGACTCATCGGAGGAGTTGCCTTCATCTGTACCTGTGTGACTAAATCCACATTGAATCTTTACGAATCTCCTTCTGTGATCTCCCCCTCTCTTGAGTTCTTTGTTGATAATGACTCCATGACTCTTCCTCTCCAGCAACTACAGCCCTGAGAAATGGCTCAACACTGACTTTACTGGAAGGAGAATCCCTTCATGTGGTCTGTACTGTTGACAGTAACCCTCCTGCCAGGCTGAGCTGGGCTCATGAGAACCTCATTCTGAGTCCCATACAGTTCTCAACTCCTGGGTTGTTAGAGCTACCTCGAATGCACCTAAGATATGAAGGAAAATTCACCTGCTCTGCACAGAATGTTCTTGGATCTCAGCACATGTCTCTGAGCCTGTTCTTAAAGCGTGAGTGTCAAGGATCCAGGGTTCCTGGTCACTGAACAGCAAGGGAAGAGTGTGGGCCCTTCTCTGCCTCACATCAATGCACATCCACATACTTGGTCCAGAGCTCTGGATAGTCAGGATGTAGGGCGGGGTACTCCTGGGATTATATGGTCTTACGTTCAGAGATGAGGGGGCATTTAGAGGACTGAATCCTACTGAGAAAGAAAGGTCTTTGGGCAGTGGTTAGCGCATGATGCTAGCACTGACCACATTTCTGCAGGGAAATCAGGACTGATGGCCGAGGTGGTTCTGGTGGCTGTGGTAGAGGCAGCTGTTAAAGTCCTGCTTCTTGGGCTGTGCCTCATTATTCTCAGGTGAGTGCTGCCCCTGAGAGCGGGAATATGTATGGGGAAGGTGGGTGCCTGATGCTAAATACCAGAGTTCCAGTACTGGGGTACTAGGAAAGGGTCTGGGGTGTGGGGACAGGTAAGGGGATTGTAGGCAGTGAGAACTCCCCATAAGTCAGATGCTGACCCCAGCTGTCGCTCATGTAGGAAGAAGTTGGTTTCAGCAAGGATATCTTGGGGATAGTGCATGTCTCTTCTTCAGTTCCCCATCCAGCCTTTGACAAGGACACTGGGGAGGTGGCTGCCAGAGTGTCCTCTGAGATGTTCCTGGTCTCTTCACTCAGAGTGAGGTCACGTAGGAAGAGGACAGCGAGGGCAGCAGTGCACAGGGACTGTTCAGACACGGCCACCAGTTAGTTCTCAGGTGAGTGAAGCAGAGCCCTGCATCTGTCTCACTTCCTTTTGGACCCTCTTTGTAAAGACCATAGAATGACCTGCCTGGCTCAGCATGGCCACAGGTCAGCTGCCCAACCCCATTCTAAACCCTTGTCCCTGCCAAGCACCATGATGCTCTGGGTCTTATCTCTACCATGAGCTCTCTCCACCCTTCATGCCATGAACCACTGCCTTCTCTCTCTCTCTCTCTCTCTCTCTCTCTCTCTCTCTCCCCTCATCCTGGACCATCCTTACCCTTACCCTGTTCTCTTTCTGAATTCTGATCATCTCTGGTCCTCAAATGTTCCTAGTCACAGAATTCCCTCCATCCACTATCTTTATGTTCTTGACACTGGCCTTCAGAATGATCTTCCAGATGCAACCATCACTCACTTCCTCCACTGCCTGAACAGTCCTGAACTGTCACATAGATGGAGATGGGCAGACGTCACAGCCTGCAGTGAGAGCCTTGCATGGTCTATGTGCTGCTGGACTCTTCTCCCAATGTTCTCTGTTCATTGCATCATGAATTGCTTACTCGGCCTTCCCAGTCCCCTATATGGAAAATTGTATATGTGAGTCTCCATGCCTCAAAGCCCTTCCCCAACCTCTCCCCCTGTCCCTTACCTGAGCACCTCAGCCTCTAGCTGTATATTACTCTGGGTAGGCATGTGCTTGTCATGCACCTCTGATCACATGCAGAAGTGACAATATTACTACATATGGACCATTTTCATACCTCAGGACACAGAACTGCTTCCATTTCTGTTACCAAAGATTGACTGATGTAAAGATGAGAACAGGAATAAAAATATGCAAAGAATGAGGACATGTCAACTGGAGATGTGAGTGTGAAGACAATTGATGCAGGAGATGAGCTGGTGACACTTGAGTGATGCTTGGAAAGCTCTCAAGTGAGAAGAAGCAGCCTCTTTGAGTCTGTTGGAGGAAGAGGCCTCCAGGAGATGGACTGGAGAACAGTGTACCCAATGGCTAGAGGCAGAAGCTGGCCAAAGTGTGGTACTCACAGAAAAGGACTGAGATTTAGAACAGAGGGAGGCAGAGGGAGGGCAATGGAAGATGTTAATCTATAGGGCATGGTGAGAAACAAGAGTCTTTGAGAGAAGCAGAGCTGTGACTGGATTTTCATGTTAATGGAATCCCAAGGCTTATCTGCTAATACATCCTGGAACAGCTGAAAGAAGAGTGTGCTTGTCACTGTCACCCAATATCTGAGGAAAACAATTCAGAAGGAAGAAAGGTTTCTCTGGGCTCATGATTTCATAGGTTTCATGGTCATGGGCCCTTGCCATGGGGCTGTGGTGACAGGAACGTGTGGTAGAGGCCTGTTCCCCCCATGAAAGCTAGGAGAGGCAAAAGAGACAGAGAGGAATCAGCCAGGGTCCCAAGATCCATTTCAGGTGCACACGTCCAGTGACCTCACTCTTCCCTATACCCGCTCCCTACACAATCCATCACACCCATATCACTGCCAGCTGGGTACCAGGCTTTAACACACAAACCTTAGGGAACATTAGACCAAAGCTATCCTGGGGGCGGGGGAAGAGCTACTCTGCCTCCTGGAGGAGGTGCAGTGACAGGGGTGTGAGCTGCCACGGGTGGAGCTCAGACCGACATATCTAATGGCCTTTGGCAGTGAAGGGCAGAAAAGAGCTGGACCTGTCTTAGGATGCTTCCTGAGCACCAGGAATGAGGGCTCCTGCTCCCTCAGTGGTCGGTGTGAGGGGAAGGTGTCAATTCTGAGAGGGGTCTTCCATGCACACGGTGATGTCAGGAGGGTTGTATCAGCCTGTGGATGGAGGGCAGGGTCAGATTTAGCATGTCAATGCCATGTTGGGAAAAGTGACACCCACAAGGGTGGGAACAGACAGCAAATGAGAAACTGAGCTGTTCCCAAGACCTTAGCAACAGCAGGTGTTCGCTAACAAATTGTGATAATTTATTTGAATTGCCCTTGGATATTTTCACAAAATATTTTCAGCTTATTAAAGTAAATGGAAAAACTAAAATTTAGAGGTTAAAGAGAGGTGGATCAAGTTTAAAATCACTCACTGCTCTTGCAGAGAACCTGGGTTTGGTTGTCCCACATGTTGGGACACAACCTTCTGTAACAGTTCCTGGATTTCCTTTCCTGGACTCCTCAGGAGCCAGGCACACACGTGCAGCACAGACATATAGGCAGGCAAGACAAATAAGTTTACTCATACATAAACAAAAATTTAACATTAAAAGTTAGTGTCCTTGGGTAGAATATTACTGTGGCCATGGCAGAGGAGCAGCAGGTGGCAACTGAGCTCCAGGAGTTTGGCTCACCAGAACGCAGGGCTCTGATTGGTGAATATCGGATAGGCAAGGCCTTGAGGACTTGGGCTCCAGAATGTCTCTTGCTACTGCTGTGCGTTTACATGATTGCCACTGCCATTTTTCTCTGGTATCTGGCATGGTGTGAATGGGTTTGGGGAGATCCCCACTGCCTTCAATGTAGTGTGATTATCTCATGGAAATATCCCCTTCTGCCGGGCATTTCTACCTGTGGGTCATTGTAGAGATGATTTCCTCTTAAGCTGTACTGTTTAATTAAAATAATAATTTTATACAATAATAGTGTTAGTTTAAATAGAATTTTGTTGACTAAGAGTTTTTAACAATATTAGTAAAGGATTATGATAGAGGTTAGTTTAGTGGAAAAATTAATACAGGTAAAGGTAGAATACAGTGTTGTGCCCACCCCTGATAAAGCAGGGTCTGTGAAGGGTAGAAAATAGGAAAAAGAAAGTGTCACACAGCTAGGACCTACGAGTTTTTCTTGAGGAGCCATATAGACTGTGGCTTAGGTTAATGATTAAGGAAAGCAATTAACTCCCAGAAGCTAGACTAGCTCAAGTGCTTTTAATCTTAATATTGGGAAATGTATTCATGGGTTTTGATGTGCATCATAACTAAAACAAAGCTTTAAATAATGACTTAATGTAACTAAAAAACAAAGAGTTGAATGGTTAGTTAAGATAATTGGACAGGACTCTAAAATATGAAAAGTGAAACAAGTAACCTGTTTTTCTGGCAATTATAAAAACTACTGCCAATGTAAATGGTTATGAAGCTGAAAGGTACCTGATCTATGAGGAGTCTAAAAGATAAATGTTTAACTGAGTGTGGGCTTCTCAGAAAGTGCATAAAGATGTGGTTGAGAAATATAAAGGGATTGACTTGTTCCAGAAAAATATGTTTTAAAGGTGATTATGTGGTAACTGTGTAACTTTTGGTTATAGGAAAAATCCTCTTCTTGTAAGGTGATTATGTGGTACCTGTGTAACTTTTGGTTTTGGGGAAAATCCTCTTCTTGTAATGGACTTGGTGTGGGCAATATAAAAAGGGTTTCTGAAAAATAAAGAAAAGAGATTATAGAGAGACCCTCAACCTGTGTGTGTTTCCCCTTTTTGCTGCCCCCACAGAATTAGGTTTTGCTCCCTCAGATAGAAAGGTCAGCTGAGTGATTAGTCCTCAGACTCTGTGGCTCCCCTTCAGTTCCTGAGCTGCTGAAGGCTGGTCCTCCCAGCAGCAGAATGTAATTTTCCTGGATACTCACCACTTCCCTTTATCATCACCTTACTTATGTTATTGACAAATAGAAGTTGTATTTATTTAGAGCGAACAGCGTGAATCTGAAGTAGATGTTCACTGAGATGTGGCTGTGTAACAAGACTCACCTCGCATCCTCATTCACAAACGTCCTCGACACCGGTGACAAACATGCCGTGCTCTTGCATGGATTGCTTCTGCTGCTGTTTGTTGTGTTTTTGCTTTGTCATCAGAAAATTTGAAATTTAAACGGAGCGATTTTGAAATCTGCAGCTGCAGTGTGGTCTTGGCGCAGTGTGGCTGGTTTCCAGCACCTTCTCCTGCTCTCCAAGGGCCTCTTGCAGTTTCACCAAGCTGCAGCTCTTGCCCTCAGCCTCTGGCATCAGCCACTGTGTGTCAACTATAGTCCTTCCTGTGAGCTGCACACAGTATGTGATTGCACATAAACTGTCACAATGTGACAACCATTGTTCTGTACCTGCCTTGTGTAACATCCTCCAAGTTCATCTGTTTTTGCAAATGGTAGGATTTTCTGCTTTTTAAGTCTTCTTCTTATAATAATAGTAATAATTATTACTATTATAAAATAAATGATAAATTATTATAAATAATAATCCTCCTTCCTTTTCCTTTCCTCTTCTCTCTTCCTCCTCTCTCCTCCTACTCTTCTTTTTCTCTCCCCCTTCTTTCTCCTCCCTTCTTTTTATCTCCTCCATCCATTTATCTCCTCCAATCACCCACTGATAGACATTCAGTTTGATTCTGTTTCTTGGCTGTAATGGACAGAGGTGCAGGTGTCTCCTTGAGGCATTGACTCCATTCCCTTTATCTGCCAGCGCCTTCAAGAACAGTTCTGCACCGAGGCCATTCTATTGCTTAATTGTTTTTAACTCTTCATACTGATTAGCACAATGTCTGTACTAACATGTCCCCACAGTAGTGTAAAAAGATTTTCTTTGCCCCACACCCTTGGAACATTCATCTTTTCTTTTTTAAAAAATTAATTTGTTTTTATTTTATGTGTATAGATGTCTTGCCCAGGTCCAGGCAGTATCCATGGAAGTTAGAAGAAAGCATCAGATCCCCTGGATTTGGAGTTAAAATGGATGCCGAGAGCTGCCATATGGCTTCTGGGAATTGAACCCACATTTTCTGGAAGAGCAGTTAGTGCTCTTAACTGCTGAGCCATCTCTACAGTTCCTTATCTCTTCTTTTTGATAGAAGTTGTCCTAACAGTGGGGAGCTGCCATGACATGTTGATTAGAATAGTAAGGTGGGCCCTTTATTTAACTTCCTGTGTCCATGTACATCTACTTCTAAGTACTATCAATATAGATGCCTTTAATAATGCTCTTTCCTTCAGCTTAGGTCACTTTGTTCCTTCTGTAATGCATGCTTACTTTCCTATTGGTTACCTGGTCATCTTTCTTATTGCAAAGAAGTTCATATAACTTCATATAATGTGTACATATTAAATGTATATATTTATCAGGGCTGATATTTATTTCTTTTAAGATTTTATTTTATTTGAGAGAGAGAGAGAGAGAGAGTGTGTGTGTGTGTGTGTGTGTGTGTGCGCCACATGAGTGCTGATGCTCACAGGCCAGAAGAAGGCCTCTGATCTCCTGGGGTTGGAGCTACAGGTGGCTGTGAGCTACCTGACATAGACTCTGGGAACTGGACTCAAGGTCTCTGGAGAAGCAGCAAGTGCTTTTAACCACTGAGCCACCTCTCCAGCCCCCAGGATGTGATGTGACTGTTGGACTTCACACATGCTAGGTAAGTACCCTTTGACACTCTCAGGCCTCTGCAATTTTTATTTTGAAATAGAGTCTCACTGAGTTGCCCAGGTTTGCCTTGGGGTTACTCCACCATCCAGGCTGGCCTGAACTGTGTAATTCCTCTGCCTGAGTTGGTGAAGTTGCTGGGATTATGAACCTTTGTCACCAAGGCTACAGAAGTTTAGTTTTTAAAATGCAATCCTGTTTATCTGTTTATATTTTGTTTCCTGTGATTTTTTTTTCTGAGACAGGGTTTCACTGTGTAGCTTTGTGCCTTTCCTGGAACTCACTCTGTAGTCCAGGATAGCCTCGAACTCACAGAGATCTGCCTGCCTCTGCCTCCCGAGTGCTGGGATTAAAGGCGTGCGCCACACCGCCCGACTCCTGTGATTTTTATAATACCTCTAAAAGTACTATCTTATAGACCAGTGTCACATGAGGCAGTGATCCCATCAGCACGTTTTTGGGGCCTGCATTTAGGTTTCCATCCACGTTGAGCCACTTTAGTACGTGGTATTTGAAGGAGGGGTGCTGTAAGGAGGAAGTTTAGGAGATGGATGAGGAAGTACAAGGACACCGAAGAGTCTGATTGCAGCATGGAGAGAAGCGGCTGTGGGTAGAAGCTCTGCTTCCTCGTTCTTCTGTGGGTCCTGAGAACTACTTGACAGATCTGTCCCCAAGACCTCCGATGGCACTTGACACGATCACATACAACAGCCACAGAAACACAGACATCTCTCTCATGGATCGGGGTGTGGGAATCTGAAGTCGGGCTCCCTGGATGCTTGTCGTGTATCACATGGTTGTCTCTCCACAGAGTGGGTCAGCCTCTTTTTCCCTATTGGTGAAGGCTACGGCCATCCTAGCCTATTCCTCCACTCCAATCTTTGCCTCTGTGGTCATGAGGCCTCACCTTTACTGTGCATCCATTTCCCTCTGCTCCTCCTTAGAAGGACACCTACGATTAGACCAACTGGATAGTGCAGATCTCCCGTTGCACAAGGTTCTTTGCTTAGTCACATCCAATTCTGATAAGACTTTTTTTAAACTTTAATTTAAGGGAAAAGTAACATTTCAGGTTACAGGGAGTGGGCTTGGGTTCCCATGGGCTCAGCCTGCTGAGCTGCCGTGTGTCCACCCCACCCTCACCGCCCCCCC